GGGGGGGGGGGGGGGGGGGGGGGGGGGAGCATAAAGTAATGTTTGTGGACAAATGTTTAAGAGTCAGTAGTTGTGCGTGCATCCTTGAAAATTTGTGCATGGCCGCATGAAAGCAGCCATGCATGTTGGATGAGACGAACAATACAATCGTTATAGGGATCAAAGAGATTCTATTGCTCTACAATCTATATAACATGCCCACTGCAACGCCTCATCATATAAAAACTCTATATAATCCCAAGCTAGAACCAATGGCCGACTGCACTATGCGAGGGATCATACCAATAAATCACAGCGAGAGATAGCCAATCAGAATGCAGGATTCGTAATCGATAGCTAGCCTAATGGCCGCCCACTGTTGAAGTACTTACCACTACTATGCCATTCTTACTCTGAAGTGTTCCTCCCAACATCTGTCCACTTTTGATCTCCATGGTAGTAACATTTTGCGAACCACGTGGGTAAAATTCCTTTCTTTCGGCTGCGAAACGAAAAGATTTTGATATTTTAATATTTCAATCAAGTTTTTAATATTTTAAACTGGTGTTTTCTATCATTCTGGAATAGAAATAAAACCTTTTATCTTGTCCGTAATTAGCTTGCCCAGAGTATCAATTCTTCGTTTAACGGTTGTGCATAAAGACACATGAATTTGAATAAAACTCAAACAAAGAATCTTATTTTCAAGAGACAGTCGCGACACATGGTCTGATTCAATGGGTATAGTAAACATTGCTCCAAAGCTAAAAGGGTCAATCCCATAAAAGACAAAGCTTCCATGACATCAAAATTGTCTTATTGTCAGTTCTTCTTCTGCCAAATAAAACAAACTCTCCAACCTCCTGAACATACATTCTGTAAAAAGCGTTGTAGTAGAAAATGCCCACCAGCTCATATACACATGTGTAGGATAACAGACTTACAAGGTCCTCGATCAGAGTGCAGAGTGAAAGGTTAGATGGCTCTGTTAGTATGAGCATCAATAGCCTCGATCCACGGTGCAACTGTGGCACACAACATATTTTTGAGGGAGATATGTCACACATGTATATAGCACCAGAGATGACTGTGACTTGGGGAACGCAAGCAACACACCGTAGAATATGGGCTAGCACGGTAAACTAAGAAAGTATAGCTTTTTATTGGCCGAGAACACTAACATCATTTTAATATTTTGCTAACGCAACGTTGCAGTGGTGTTCATGTGGTGTATGCACAACGAGTTTGGCGCAAACAGTGCGCGCTACTTCGCGTCCAACTGTTGAGAATTGAATGCACACGCGCGTTGAAATTTTGTTCTTGCGCTCAACATTTACACCTTGTTTGTGACCTTTAAATCAATATGAGTGAGTGCATGAGAATTCTAAGGTTGGCAAAGAGCAGAGCCATACATTTTACATGTAATAATTAGCACTTTTATAAACTCACGTTCATTGTCCACATTGATATCTTGACAATCTTTCGAGCCAGCGGTATCACATCTAAAGATAGCACCATAACGAGGCAGTATTGTTCCATTAGGTGACGTAACGTCACTAAGTGGAGCTCCGACTAATACCCTGTTAATGTAATGATCCATTAATATTGTTCCTTTAGATCAGCGAATAGCCCCACAACATTCAAAATGATGGGCGGGCAATAGTTCCCTTTATCTTTAACTTGGGCATATTATTTACCCATTTCAGACCACGTGCCATTCCCTAGAGTATCATTTCTTTGTTTAACGCATGATAAGACATATGGATACACGTAAAACAAATAAAAGTATATTCTCAAGAGAACGACATTTCGTCTGACTGAATTGGTAAAAATTATGCTAGGTTGAATGGGTCCATTAACAAGTGATTGCACCAAAGAAAACTTTTTGATTTCATGCCGGGTTTACGCATACATGCAAGTAAGTTGGTTCTATTTACTGCAACACTAAAATAAAACGAAGCCTTAGAGGTGAATGATATTGAGAACACTTGAACTTGGAATGTTGTGTGTCCCCTTAACTGGGTCGCAAGTAGGCGCAAGCAACACATCAAAGAAAATGTTATCTTTAATTACCGCAAGTCTACACAGGTTAGACCCGATCGAGTTCCGTGTGTGTGGGATCGAATAGCGTGCTGTTTCTCCAACTGTCATTTTTTCTGAACTAACCGCAAACACGAAAACGAATGCGCACAAGATATTTTGCTGATCACCGGCTCATATCAGATGTTCTTATGTCCAGCTGATCGTTTTTTTTTTTATCAGGATGATAGAGGTATTGTTATTATCATTATTATTATTATTATCATTATTATTATTATCATTATTATTATTATTATTATTATCATTATTATTATTATTACTTTTTTTTAAACACTTTAACATATTCAGTCTCAGAAAGTAGCAAATGCTGGACATTTTTAAATATGTTCTTTCTGATTTGATTTTTCTCGATTTTTTCGTCGTTTTTGTGAGTTTATTTTAAAGAAGCATAATAGTGAAACTTAAGGACTGGGGTTAAGACTATACGATACGTGTTCACCAACATCATCTCACATACAGATGTGCTATTAGTTTAGATCAATAAAGAATTTGTTTGCTTAGTAATTAATGGATTATATTAACCCACAAAAGCCCCTTATCATAACACAACTGAACGCGTTGACTTCCGGTCTCCAACGCACAAGTAACATGCGCCATTCCAAGGTAATGATGTAAAATCCTTCAGCTTTAAAAATACACATCTAAAGTAAGGGGTAGCCTGGGTTCACTGTGGTTTTCAGGGGGTGGGGGAGGGGGATGGCTGAGTAGGGGGTGTGTGGGAGAGTAAGAGAGGTAAAGGAGAAAGAAGAGACCCAAGCCTTCTTTCCCTAAGCCCCCAACCACCTCCCTGCCCTCCACCCTCCCCCAACAAAGAGGCGACCTTCAGCAACGCATGCAAGGTAATTGCAAAACATTATGCCTACCCTCCTCCCCAAAGAAGCGTTCTGTAAGTTGTTTTGATACTTTACGATATTGCTCTATATAATGCGGTTTGCACCATTACTATGATAACCAGATGTGTAACTGGTTATTATAGTGCAGACATACCCAGCCGTAATTCTAGACTATAAAACCATTCATACATTAATCAAGGGCTAAGTATTCTAATGAATATCTGAGAGTGGTAACAAGGGGTCAAAAGCACTGCCAATCAAACCTTATTACACGATATCACGCCTGTTTAACTCATGGATTAGTGTACTACTTTTTACAGTATCATTACAACGAACAGCACTAAACAGCTGCGGTGTGTTTTTGATAATCCTTTTCAGTTTACTTCTTTGCCAAATAAGCTTAAAAGCTGAGGCAAAAGTTTCAGTTTGAATAACAGGCTAAAAATATACCGATAAAGTCAGTGTTTTTTTGAATTTCCTCTTGAATTCCTTTTTGGAACAAGCGAGCTTTTGTCATTTTGGTTTGCGAAGCGGTTTTGACTGGACTAGAACGTGAATACCGCTGAAGTGTATGAAGAAAAAACTGAACCACAATGTTGACGATCTAGATATATATTAACACAGGAAGCCCATCTCAGTTATTTCTCCCTACGATATAGTAATACTTATTGATACCCTGAAACAAACTCTGGGTTGATCTAAGGCATGGCATTGCTAACTCTTATACTGGAATTTAGCGTGTTGGGTTTTGTGGAGGGAGGAAAACCAGAGAACCCGAAAAAGCCCTTGAAATTGCGATGGACAGATCCAACGCGTCTTCTCTCCTGTCTCTCATGTGATGCCGAGTCCAGGAATCTTAACTTCCTTAAAACAGCTTCTAATTAACGTCTTGGTTTGATTATGCGAAACCCTTCCTAATTGCTATTAATGACCGTAAAAATGAGAGTGGTTTGATGAAAGAAAATTATAAACCTGTCATGATTATTTCCTCGATGATCTTTTGACAGCTCGAGAATGCGAACACATCTTCCGCTCCATGCCAATCCTCGTAGAATTTCGATCGAAATACTTTACTACAGTAAAATGTAACTAAATCTGTCCAGATAAAACCCAGTTCTTTCAATTTTAAATAAAAATTAAGTGTCATATTTTTATCTATCTTGCCTATCTATTTTCTGAATTGCCCTCATCATTCTTTGGTAAGAGTTTCAAATACTTTACGATATTTAAATGCCGTTTTTTTTTTAAAGTTTAGCTAAGAGTTATTAGTGTAGCTAGTGTAATAACGATAAAACATATGGCCAAATCAGTAACTTCCAATATGTTTACCTACCATGTCTTATTTCCATGTAAATGAAGTGCGACCGAGAACCCAAAAAAGATTCCATCGGCTCGATTGGGAGGAGAATAGAATATAGCTGTTCGAGTATCAATATTAAAACTGTTCAACTCCACGGCGTAAAAACCGAGAAGCATTAGAAAATACGAATAAAATACCATCGTCAGAGAGAAAGATGACAAGCTGTTGTTCGGTCCTGTTCTCGATAACATTTGCATCTTTTTCATAGTCCGGTCGTGCTTAGTGTCGGACGTAGTTGTGAAGGTCTTGCGGTCACACCGAGCCGTCACCAAAAAACTTCCGTTTGGTCACGGCTCACAACGTGCGACCTCCTTTTCCCTCCATTTTTTTACGTGATTTTAAACAATTTCAGAAAGAAAATTTTAAATTTCCCTTTGCTCCGACGAAGCACTTCTGAACTTTCAGTTTTGTAAGTACGAATGAGGGAGCATTATAAGTGGTTTGTCCTGTCAATTCCAAAGACAATTGCATTTCCGCAATGCTGATGCTTTCCGACCCCGAATACCAAGCGGAGGTGCAGAAATAACAACAGAACAAGCCCTAGTAACTGAACATTGTCATTAATTTCGGTGTCAAATCCTTGGGATGAAAATTAACCCCATTTAAACCAAAACTTCTTTACTACCCACTGTCCTTTTAATTAATTAACTTCAAACAATAGACATCTTTTCTTTTTTTTTTTCTTTTTTATTATTATACGTGACAATCAAAAATTATAATTGTTTGATCTGTGGAATAACATAAACCACGAGCCTCAAATGGGCAAATAAGGGAAACAGGGAAATTTGGAAAACTGAAGGGAGTAGGTAGGAACTGTGGTTTCCTTAAAAGACAATGACAAACAAAATAGTTATCCATCCTTTGTGCGCGAACGAGCAAAACCGGAAGTCGGTGTTCCAAACCACTACCCTTTCATATCATTGAATTCAAACTGTTAGGAAAATCAGTAAGTACAGTGGGCCCCCGCTAAATGGGAAAATATCTCTGAATTCATATATTTCGCACCATTATTTATGATTTAATTCTTTTATATTTTTTGATGTTGTAAATAATTTTAACATGACTGTATGGTGTGATAGTCCAACCTCACCTATCTCTCAAGGAAGACATCCTTTTATCACATGCTATAGGAAACGCCCAATCAACGTGGTTGCCGACAGTCACGTGATCATTCCCAACCACTGGAGGTATTTCCCATAATACAATGCTATCGCACACGTTTTTGGTCACACTGAACCTGAATGGTTCAGATGGTCTCAGATGCCAGGAATAATGAGTTACTCTGTATCATCAGGGATACTTTTAGCTTTTATCWTTTTACTTTTACCTCAGCAACGAAAAGAGATATCAAAGAATAGTTAACGTCATTCTTATCTATTTATGAAGGCTTTCAAATCACGAAATCATCCTATAGGTTAGGTGTACTTTAAAATCGGCTACGAATTTCATGAATACAAACTGCAAACGCTTACTCGGGTCTTATGGACACTGCTACTAAATGTCACGTAACAGATTAGTGACTTTATATAGTCACGTGGAAATGTTACTATCAAAGGAAAATGACCTAAGTGAACCTGATAAGGAAAAGGACTTGATAACTGCTAGCTATGGTTATTGAGAGACAAAAACATATCCTTGCATTTATTGTTTGGGAAATTTCTCTCGGCGTTTCTTTTATTTATTCGTCTTTCATTCATTACATTTTTTCCCGTTTCTTTAATACCTTTCCATTYATTTGTTATTCCCTACGTCAACCACTAAATGCAAACTCTACAAAATGTAAAAGGCAAAGGTGAAGTACCTATATTTAACGTCGGCAATTCCTTCAGCTGACATTTAGCTATCGATGAAAGCCGACGGTGCGCACTTCCCATCAGTGCTCTGTTTTAAGAGTATTCAAAGCTGAAGCTATTCGTCTTTCATTTATTATTTTTTTCCTGTCCTTTAATACTTTTTCATTCATTTGTTTTACCCTACGTCGATGTACACAACTAAATGCAAATTCCAACTCTCTTTTCTTTCTTCACTATATTTAATTTTATATCGCTTATTTTTACCACAAGCCAAAACCCAGTTTCTGAGTAATTCCTTCTGAGAACACGGAACCAATTTCATTGCCTTAGCAGTCGGTACGACAATCTATTTTAATACCAGACAGCGAGTCTCGCTTGCTCGATTTTCGGAAATAACAAACTCATACTTCGATATGGTAGAAAGATTATTACAGTCCTTAATAATTCAAGAGTCCGCGCGCAAAACAAAAAAAATTTGCACAGATTCAACAAATTTACAGGATATAAATTTCGTACTCGAGAAGTCTAAGAGATAAGTTATTTTTAATTAGCTCAATGAGCAATTAGACATTGAGTTTTTAATTGGAATAGTTTTTCAGGTATCAATCAGTCAGGCAGCTCCGACACCGGGTCAGAGTGATATCAGTATAAGTACCGCAGTTCAAGATAGTAATTGAAGACTAGCGCAGTAAATAACCTAGTTATCCTGTTATTAAATTAAACCGATCAATGGAGTGCGTATTGTCAATGTTCAATGGTTATTGCACGCGTATATTGATTCGCATGTTTTGGTAGCTGTCTCATCCAATTTCCTATAGCCTTGTTGTGTGCGAATTTGATGCTTTTTTTTTGGTTTATATTTAGGTGTTATTGATATTCAAATGAACCGCTGTGAATGGATCATCCTGTAAGTCCCCCAGATTTCAGACTGACTCCGAACTCCGACCGACAATGTTGGTGTATACGTATACTTGCTGCGCCGCCTAAAGTATCCCTAAACTGACCCCAATTTGGGAGAACTAGAATTATTCCATTAGGCTAAGGTCCGTATAGAATGGGCGATACTGGGACTATGCGACTTTTCCACTCGAAAAACCTTCACGTCTTTTTGAGTATGCGAGCGAGATGTGAAATCATGGCGATGGTCCTTTTTACGATATCATCTTTTATCCCCAGGTATATTTGGAACTAAAGTCTTCATCTGAAATGTTTTTAATGAATACATAAGCTTCAATAAAAAAATAAATGCAATGAAAAATACAGGGGCTTAAAATTAGAGATTTTGGAGACGTTTGTGATATCTGAACCGCGACAAAAATACGGAGCGAGCAAAATTTATCGATTTTCTCCCAAGTTATACCAAAAAAGAAAACATTTCCTCACAAAAACATTTCCTTATATAAAAAAAGAGAATTAGGTAAATGACTCCAAGAAAAACTAACTAGGTCTTGATTCTGGTCTAAACTAAAACAAAGCTTTCGCTTTCTCCACTTGCTCTTCTTTCAATCCTCTTTCTTTTCTCCTTGGTTCTTTCAGTTCCCATTCCTTTTCTTTACTCTCACTTTCCATGGTGCTCCATTTCCTTCCCTTCCCTTCCCTTCCCTTCTCCTCTCCTCCTTTCTGTCACGTCCCTTTGCTTTGCTCCCTTCTCATTCTTATCTTTCCCGTTATATTTTAGTCACAATACATCAACAGTAGTCTATGTGAATCTCCCCCTCAATGTTTCGCCTTTCCAATCAAGACCCAAATTATGAAATTCTAAGTAATCTTGCAGACAGACATTTCTCTTTGCATATAATATCATGAGTACGGCATACACACATTATGTGCCTACTCCATGATAGAAGAAAATGTCTCTGTTATATTGTAGTTATAGTAAAGTCTGTGATGCTTCCTTACAAGTGCACATATCATATATGTTGCACCGCATAAGTATCACGAGTATATCACGTATAGTGTGCACCTACTCCATGGTCGAAGTGTAGTGGATCTTACATATAATAGCTTTAGGTGTGGTCGAGTCTGCAATCACTATCTCGTGTCCATCAGTTAGTCCGAGCTCTGCAAAACCAGGGGAATACAATCAAACATTACAGAGATACGTTATTATCACTTTGATCATTTGATGAGACATTCTTTGAACCAATCACATCGCGTGATCACTACTTGTCTAATCAAAATGCTCTAAGACGGTACCGTTACGTGCACGGCACGGTTAGTATGTACCGCGAGGTTTTAGCCCATATATAGTCATATCTCTGAAGTGCTTACTGTACCTTGAAGGGTTTTGGACAGATTTCCTCTTATTCGTTCCTCTATCGATTTAACGGACTGCAAAATAAAAACAGGATTGAAGTTAAACATTCTGTTTTACCTAGTTTAGCTTAGTGTGCGTCAATATGCACCGATTTGTCAGGTAGCAACTAGTAACGTTGATAGTTGACGGTCGTTGATGACTCAAAGAAAGAATCCTATTTCCAAGTTGATGACGTAAACGCATCGTTGTGACGTCATCACTTGGTATTTCGTAACATCTCTTTCATCCTACCTGCATATACAATGTCTTATTTTTTCCATCGATCATAGTTGTGATTCCTGGAGCTTTCATCTGACTGCAACCAATGGGAAGCATATTAGTACTAATCCTGCCGAATCTTGTCTGTTGATAAAGTACGAATACACCTATTCACCTTAGACCTTTTCTGAGAATGCGAGCATGGTGCATTGTGGTCTAGCTTTGATACAAACATCTTTTGTTTATTCTGTCTTATATGGTGTTGTTTGCACCGACCACAATGCACCATGTTCGTTATCTCAGAAAAGGTTTTTGGGCATGTTTTCTCATTTCAGACCACGTGTCATTCCCTAGAGTGTAATTTCTTTGAATAACGGTTGCACATGAAAAGACACATGGATATGGATATAACTCAAACAAAGAATCTTATTCTCAAGAGAATAACACGTTGTCTGAAATGGGTAAACATTACGCCTAAGATAAAGATGTGCATTTGCTTTACTTACTACTTGGAATCTTCACAAAGAAAGTTTACAACATCCTTTAGAGTGGTGTTTTCACTGAATGCTAGAACTTGTGGTCTTTGACTGCAAGCAGCACAATCATCCTGGTAGGAAAAATTTGGAAAAACATTTTTGTCTCCATAATTAATAGAAAAAATATTGAGACAGATCACAGGTATCCCAAGCTCAATTTTAGAAGGGAAAAACAAAATTTACTGTAACTTGTGAAATACTGGACGGATTAGCCTCAAACTCATCCTAGTCCCACAGGGGATCAATACAAACAAGTAAGTTTTTAAAAAAATATTTACAAATACATTTCTTATATATTAATTTATCTTTTACAAACTGCATACATTTACTGTAATTCAATCAACACTAAAATTGAGCTTGGGATACCTGTGTACAGATGCACTACTAAAGGGGGTGTTTCCTTGAGTTAACCGACAAGAAAGATAAGGGTTACTATTGAAGACGATAGTTTCACCCCTTTGCAGGGTGGCACATTATCGTATACAGTTCCTTAGCTGCACCCGAAATATGATTCATTGAGTTGTGGTCCTAGCAATAACGATTTACTCTTCATATTGTCTTTTTACAATTGTTACACACCCTATGTGCTTAAAAATTCCAAAATTATATATTTACCTAATAGAAAATAATCTTAAGATACACAGATGATGAGGTAAGATAACAAAGTAACTGAAAAATTGGAGAAAAAACAATGATGTACACATACTTTTTTTTCTGCTTCAAATGTATAGGTGTACAGACCCTGGGTGTCATTGAACACCATGTAGTTATTCAAAGGATTACAACAGCTAAATGAAAAATAGATATTGGAAAAATGCAGAAAATAATATATTAGGGTGACTTCCATTTAGTCAGACCGATTGGTCCGAGCATACTCAAATGGTACACTTCATCTCTGAGAAGTGGACCACTGCGGCCCAAGGCAGTTGTAAAAACTGGTGAGTACAATTTGAGAACTGGCCAGTCAAACTGATTGGTTTGACTCAATGAAAAGCGCCCTTAGACTATTATTGATAGTTCAATCAAACATGAGTTATATCTTTTTTCTTGATGAGRGTTTTTCTTCCTGCATTGATAATTTAACGTGCCATGCTAAATTCTGTGAGCTGGCCTAATGCCCTGACTTACATGTATCAGCTGTTTTGATCAGTTGTTTAAGGGTATCAATAAAAATGAAAAACTTTACATTATTCTTCAGTGGAATACATACCTTGTCGCTAGTTTAAAAACCTCAAGAGCACAGGCAGCTAAAGAGTGAATGAAATAGAAACAACTGTACATACCAGATCATACCAGAAAACTTTCAATTATAAACTCCTGTACTGGTACCTACTGTAACTCAAACTCAATTTGTAACTCAAACTCAAACTGAAACTTGGGCAATAGGAAATCTTCTCTTGCACAATCATGTAACTGGTCTATAATAATTCTAGCATTTGTGGTAATTCTGTACCTGCAAGAACTGCATTAGTTGATGCTACAGCTGGGATAATGTTCTTGACGACTCCTTATGAACATGAAAAGGAAATAAGACATAGTTATCATTGGTGCTAATGAAGCAAATTATTTTACATCAATTATTGCACTCTTTTCCATACTTTTTAKTGCATGCTTTTTCATACTCTGATGAAGGACGAACACTGAAATGTCAGTTATTATGTATAGTAAATTAGTCATATCTTTTTTTATTGTATGGTGTTTAATTTATTTAATATTTATTATTATCCATTATTTATAAAATATGCTTTAATAATGCACTGATGCAGCTTAAACTAGTTTACTCACTAGTTTTATTTCATCTTATTATATTATTTTATCTTATTACATGTATATTATTTTATCACTGATATTATTTTATCATATTATTTTATCATTTTAATATTTAATATGCTTTACACATACACTGATGCAGCAGCTCAAACTAGTTTACTAGTTTTCTTTCTCAGGAAGAGAGTTTTCGTTCAATCTCCTTAGCACTCATAGCAAAAATTAATTGAAAGCTAGATAAATGTTAAAGGGATACCTTGAGTAAGTCTATATGTCACTCCCTTGATTTTGAACTCATCTGCACGCTGCCTTGCATGGTTGAGTATCCATTGAATGTGTTCAGAATCATCACCATCAACTGGAACATCAGCTGTAAATTCAAGTTATAGTAGAGCATTAATACATAAACAAATATATATAATTGTCCAAGTTTAATGGTTCTGGGCACTCTCTTATGGAAGTGCATTTGTCCCTTGTCTCTCAGGGGTAATGGAGAGAATAGCCCACAGACACTAGGTTCTGTTCTGGTGTTCTGTGTTTTAGCAAATGCCCTCTCGCTTCTGCAGGTCTCGGCTTTGATTCCTGGGTAGAATCTGCGTCATATCTGAGTAGACTTTGTTAATTCTCTTCCTTGTCAATGATGGTTTTTCTCTGGGTTTGAGCCAGTTTTCCACCTCCACAAAACCGGCTAGCAATTCCAATTACATTTAGGTAAAGCCTAAAATTTTAAACTCACTTTATTATTTGGAGTAGGAAAACCAGAGAGCCTGGAGAAAAAACCTTGGAACACAAGAGAAAACAACCAAGCAACTCTATTCACACATGRTGGAGTTAGATCCCATATAATGCCTACCTCCAAATGGTTGTTCCTGAGGCCATAGAAGTACCCTAGCATACTCAACACAATGCTCAGGTAATCTTGGTGTGTGTGCAATGGTGCACAATGGAAAATTCACCTGGAATAAAAAGTGTGAAATTTGAAAAGGAAATAAGCTTATGGTTGTCAACAATTAACAAAGAGTGCTTCTCAAAATTTGGAATCAAGCATGTCGTAGCAGGGTTTAAAATAACAACTGTCATTGGCATGTCCTGCAAGAATATTGCAACTTGTCTGATCAAATCTTTGCCTTGCCAGTCAATTTAACCAGTAATGGTAATGTTGAGCCAGAAACGAGGTATGACCAACCTAAAACTAATTGGTCCAGTGAATGACCTGCAAATGACCTTTCATTGCTTTAAGTCCTGCCTAGCAATAGTGCATTCACTTCTCTCATCTCTGGGGTCTCTGATTAGATTCCTGGACTCTTCACAATATGTGAGTTTGTCAGGTCACTCCATTTATTCAATTCAATTCCAATTCRATCTGTGAGTTTGTCATGCCAAAGGCTGATTCAGGGTATCAATAAAATTTGAACATTTTAAACTAATATTCTCAACTATTTAATGCATTTTCCCATTTCAGACCATGTTTCATTCTCTTGAAAATATTCTTTGTTTGAGTTGTATCCATAGTCATGTGTCTTCACATGTGCAACCATTAAATGAGGATACTCTTGGGAATGACATGTGGTCTGAATAGGTAAAATGTTAGACCCAAGTGTAACCGGCGGCAAGGCGCTCAGCTATGAATCAGATTGCAAGTGGTTTTGACAAAAGAATTTAT